AATCGATTTGAATTGTGAAAAAAAAAAAAAAAAAAAAATATTATTTATCTAGACTAAAATAGAGATGTTTTTATCAAAATCTGAATGATAAAAAAAAAAAAAAAAATTTTTTTTTTAAAAAAAAAAAAAAGAGGCTGTATGAACGATAAAGGAGGATGAATTGAGGCTGTGCGCAGTAAGATTAACCAATAAGGAAGATCACTATGAGGGTTACTGCGGATGGAATTGATTGGAAAGGAGTAATACAATAAAGAAAGGGATGTAAGAGGAAATAATAAGGAACAATATTAAGATGGGGAGAGAAAAAAACACGAGGGAGAAAAAAAAAGGGTATTCGAACGCCAGATGTTACAGAATTGAAAATGGTGTCATCAAAGGGTGTGGTGAATATGGATGGACAATAGAGTTTAAAGACAAGGTCATTAAAAAAAATTTTTTTTTACGCCCAAAGAAATTGTTTGAGAAACAAGTAAAACAGAGAGAGAGAGAGAAAAAAAAAAGACAATGTGTAAAGTTCAAAAATGTTATATCATGAAATAAAATGATAAACAAAGCAATATTTTAAGATACAAGCAAATTCAAAGAAGCGTACACAAAGCAACAACAAAGGTGATGACAGATATTGTAAAGATACCTCTTGTAGAGATATGTTGAACGAAAGAATTTAATAATAATTTTAGAATACTTACTCTTTTAAATCTGCTTCAGAGACGACACCAAAGCAGGAGAAGGAATGAAGTTTTGAAAAAAATAGGGGGATGAGAATGGGTTTATAAAGCAAAAAAAAAATTAGGACGGTAGTAATAAGTAAAGAGAATTTTTAAAAAAGATTAGATACAAAATAATTTATGACGTATATATATCGAATATATTAAGCAGTGTATATATTTTTAAAGTATTTATATTATATTAGAGTAACAATATAAATAATTATAGTTGATCCCTCACTTATTTAAAAGGCTTTGTTCTTTTTTGGCACGTTATCCGGGACAAAAAAGCAAAAATTAAGTGAAGTGAAGGAACAAAAATGTGGGCGAGACTTATTTATAACAAAAAAATTTTCCAATAAATGAATAAATAAGTAACCAATAATAGAAATAATTGATATATAATATAAATAAATTTAAAGGAAAAAAAATTTTTTTTTTATGGAAATCACCAGTTTAAAAAAAAAAAAAAAAAAAAAAAAAAAAGGCCGAACTCTTAGCTTTTAGACTAATTATAAAAAATAATTCTATGTTTGAGGGTGTAAGATATTTTCTTTTGGAAAGAAAAAAAAAAAAAAAAAAAAGCTTAATAAAATAATTTAGAAGTTTTAAAGATGTTCACGGAAATTGTCTGGTTTGAGCCAGATGTGAAACAAAAAGGACATTACTCAATAATATAAATATAACATTTATTATTAGTTAATCATCAATATGTTGTAAATAAATAAATTTTTTAGATTACGAAAATATATTCAATAGTTTAACCAAATCAACTTGAAATCAACTATTAAAAGAAATTAATATGATATACATTTAACAATATATTTTAAATCGTGGCATGGTATTTAACACCACATATAATGTTACAAATGATAAAACTCAAATTATGCATTTTGCATGGGAACGAACAACAACAAGAACGGATGCATCAATGTTATGTGTTTGGGTACATGAAAGATTGGTTGCAGCATTCCATTATCCAGAGTAATAAACAAAGTTAAGTAAATCATTTAAATTGTGACCTTGTAAGATACCATTTCTTTACCAGGGAGACCGCTGATTGATGACTTTTTTATCGACCCAAATCTTTTCCTTCCCGATTTCGAATTTTGACCTTATGTCATCTCAAAACACGTCACACATTCAAACAGGGGCATTTCTAGACTTTTAGAAACCAACTTTTGTTTGCATATTTAAAGGTTCGAAAGTATCCAACTATATAAGACCATATTTAGGTTTATTACGAAAAATAACAATATCTACAGATATGGGAATAATTCCCATTTCTTTTCCCTTTTATGAAGTAATCGGCAAAAGCGCCATGGCAATAAGTTCGGGCTTGGACTCTAAAAAAAAAAAAATCATGCTCGCGTTGGGAACTTCACATATTTTAATGCTATTTTAATTTACTAAATGAGGATAATTTTGGTGGTAATTCACATTATTTTGCCACATTAGCCACACAGACATTTTTTTAACGTTTATTTTTAGTGCCGGGAAAAAAAAAAAATGCAATAATATGTGCATGGATGATGATGTATGCGCATTTATGTTGTTATCGGTGAAAAAAAACCGAGAACAAGAGAAAATTAATTCGTTGCGGGGCAATAAGATAAACTTTGTTTCAAACACCGAAACGAAACGAAACATAATTTATATTATTTGTAGAAAAATGATTTGTGAATTGTATGTATCCACATTCCCAAAGTTAGAATAACACTTGGTCAACCGGAATAAAAAAAAATAAACTTACAGAGCACAACATCCGAATTTTATTCGAATTTCCCCGCATTTTGTAATCCGTAAAATTTCTTTACGTTGATTAGTCGCTTTCTTGACCTCTTTAAGAAATGACGCACCCTTTATTTATTTATTTTTTTTGGACTAAAAGGGGACATTAGTTTTAGCGATATATTTGTATCATAACCTTTACAATGAATTGAAATATAACCTTTTTCTATTATAAAGACATAATGCATGCACATGATCCTTCCATTTAACCATTGGTATATCAGTTAATAAGCATGGATCAGTCATCATTTAATCGGTTTCATGATTTTGGAAAGTCACTTTAGAGACAATGGTGTTATGTTAAAGGTTATAAAAAAAAAATTTTTTGAGAAACAAGGTTCAAAGATGTACATTTTTGGTGATAATTGAGATTCTTATTCCCCAAATATGATCAAAAACAATAAAAAAAAAAAAAAAATAAATAAAGGAAATACGGTTGCACCAAACTCTCCTAGTCCATTTCAACAAGCACAATTTACAAACAAGCAACCGAAAAGAGATGAACGAATTACCCCATCAGAAATAATATATAAAGAAAATAAAGTTTTTTCGTGTAAGATTGTGTGGTAATTATAAATACCAAGGGTTACATGGATAGAAACAAACGCGTCTTATTATTTGTGACAAAAGGATTTCTTTCAAAAAAACTAATCGACATTACTGTACATGATATTTTCCTCTTATAAACAAATGCGGTATATGGAAATTAAAGGGACTTACTTGAAAAGGAAAAACAAAGAATATGATTTGCTTGCGTTAATGCGTTAAAATGGAAAATCACATGCATTAATATGTATGATCTTCAAGTGACATTCCCCTTTTTGCCTCCTTTTTTTCCCCTTGGTCATACTTTTATGGTGTCCAATGAGGCACCCTTGAGGATTTCCATTTAATGGTGATGCTATGCATTATTCGTTTGTTAACCAAGGGTGTCTTTCCAAATGTATGTAATAAGTTTTCTGGGGGATAATAGGTTGGAGTGAAACAGGTGATCCGTTCGTGATTCACAACCTTTTTAAAGTTTAACGATAATGAGATGGAAAACAGTTAAAAGAATGTCAAACGCAAAATTATTCACAAAGGAAAAAAAATTTATATTTATAAATCATAATTTTAAACGAAGCACAAAATCAAACTTAAAGCATTGTGACACGCACAATGTATAACAATTTAATTAAACAGGAAGAAATCCCGGTCTTGACCAAAATCAAATAAAAAAAAAACCTTTTATATTAATGATATTTTGAAAAAGTGATACAAAGGTACATAAATAAATAAATAAATAAGCAACATGTATTGATGACATTTTATTTTTCTAATTGGTAGAGTTACAATCAAGTAACTCATTTTGTGTATAATTATATATCTTTCTTCTTTCTCTTCCGTTATATTTCAGTCAATTATGTCATGATCCTTTTTTCAATTTCTTGACTCTCGAGATGAAACGTTGAAAGAATCTAAATATGATCCTTTGATGCTGTCAATTAATTATGGAGCAAGAAGCACATTGAAAAGCAATTTCCCCCGACGAAACGTCTGAATTTTGTTTACGTTGTACAGATCTTTAATCAAATTTGGAGGGAAAGCATAAAATATTTCTTATGACCCAATAAAGTTTTGTCTCTAGCCGAGCTTATTGTCAGATTTACAATAAAATCTAAATTAGACGATTTGTCTTTTTCTAGAGAATTTTCAGATAACCTTTTTATTTTCTCTTGATCTACTTTGCAAACAAATTTTAATTGTACATGAAAGTAAAAATTCGTCGATGGATTACATGATATTCAGCATTTCCGTTTCACATATAACAACATGTCATACTTTTTCCAAACAAAATGAAAAACATCATCTTTTAACAAAATATATATATATATATATTCGCCAAATAAGATAATTACATATAACATGCATATCTTGGGCTTGAATGTAACCATTTTTATATTTATTTTCCATTAATATTTTTCCTATGTCGATACTAGAAGGTCCAAGCAAATGTTACACTACATTTTTTTTAGTACAGTTAATTTTCTTTACATAGCATTGATCGAAATTAATAATTTCCGATTTTTTTTTTTTTTCTTTTCATTTTTTTAGAACAAGTCTCTTACCTATTATTTTTTTTTTTTTTTTTGTGGGGTAAAATAGACCATGATCAATTGATTAACACTAAATTGCACAAAGTTGGTTTGACCCCTGAAAAATTATTTAAGTTTCTTCTAAAATTAGATAATCCGTTCTTAACTAATCCATTTCTGGTTTAGATTTTTTTATTAAATGCATGCCCCTTTCTTTTTTCCCAAAATTTCAAATTAGGAAGGTACAATACAAATTGAAAAGTTTTTTTTTTTTTCATTTTCGTGCCTTTTCTCCTATTTTATTATCATTGAGATTAACGCTTACCAACCAAATCTTGTCAATTATTTTCCATTTCAAGTTTATTATTCTAAAAAGAAATAATATAAAATAATTTAAACGTAATAATAGGGTTCGTGTCCCTAGGGTATGTCGGAGTTCACCATTGTGGTGCGCTTTTTGAAATTACCTTATGAAAATAATTTCAAATATTTTCTGATTTGTTTGAATTATTTATTTTTTTTTTTTTCCCTTTTTTTCTTGATTTAAGGATATTTCAGTTAAACAAGATGATGACGTAACAAATGAATTGTGGTCATTTCATCGACCTTGCATCAACCCGATTTGCGCATTTAAGAAAGGACATTGCCGATGAACAAATATACCAAGAACCTTATCGTTATGAATTCAACAATTTCGATGAAACGACGACGCTTTTTACTCCATTTAGGACGAACCATTTTGAGCATTGTGTCATTATTATGTTTCTCAACGCAAAACACACTTTTTTTTTTTTACCTTAGTTCCGCTAAACTTTTAAGAGAAAGAGAAACCACATTCGGATTAACGAAAAAGATTTTTTCGGGTTGGATGCACACAAAAAACAACCATTGGTAAAATTTTTGTTTTGTTTGTTTTGGGAAATTAAAAATGTTATTTGCTACACGACATTCTCTCATAAGGCGCACAAAAAAGGATTACGGTAGCACGGAATATAATGTCATGAATCTATTGTCGAATAAAGTAAAGATAATCTTAAGTAGCTGAATGTAAGCTGAATGCTATGTTATCAAGTTAACAAACGAGTTTTTTTTTTTTTTTTTTTTCTAATACAGATAGATATTCAATCAAAACGATATTATGTTCAACTTGTTTAATTTCTCGCTTTTATAGAGATTGTTGTTTTCTATTATAATCAAGGATTCGTAATCAACAAATAATTTTCTGCTCAGGTATTGTGATTTGAACATACTATCGATTTTTTTTTCTTTTTCGCTTAAGAAAGTAAGAGGACAAAAAAAAAAAAAAAAAATTGTGTACGAGTGCATCAAGTGCATACATGCTAAAAGGATTGTATGATGGGGGTAATTATTTGAAACGTGCATAATTTAGAATATTATTTAGGTTTATTCTTCAAATATCACATGAAATTAAATTGTAAAAAGATTACGTTTCCCTCATGCATTCAAGATTAGAAACCTAACTATATATTAATACTAAAATGATTTCGTACGCATACAGTCAGAATCAAAGTATTGGGTAGCCAAGAATTACGATCTCTCGTTAGTTGTCCTTCATAAAAGTCAAAAATGAAGCGAAAAAGTGCAGGAATGGCTGAACGAAAATATCATCGGATATACAGTATCTTTGTCCCACAGAAGATTTATCCGGTCTTCCTTGGTTGCTGCGCCATACTTTACATAATCTACGAATCATTTACTTCCCCCATCGAAACCCTTCGCTATTTGAATTTCACGTATGGAATTCCTATGATATTCCACATCCGTTGAGTACCGTGAGATTTTTGTAAAAAAAAAAAAAAAAAAAAAAAAAAATTTTTTTTTTTTTTGTAGCAATATTTTGCATCATTGTTGTTTATTCATTTGATTTATTGATTGTGTATAATTAATTAGATTTTTTTTTTCTGACAACGATTATAACAAATCTCTCCCTCGATTTAATCTAACCAAATATTTAAAAGTAGCCAAAGATGACGAAATATCATTAAAGGAAATCATTTTTAAGAAAAAAAAAGGAGATTTGGATCTTAAAAAAAATGGGGAGGCCTTTTCATAAAACCAAATCGAGTAAAAAATCCCTTCAAATAAAAAATGGGATTAAAATGAGATCCGCATTAATTTAGTTAATTAACTTTATTGGTATCAAAAAGAAAATTCAAATACAATATAATAGGGAGAATAAGGGCACGAATGAGAAAATCAAAAGTGCAGATGTATTGTGTAATACCTTTTCAATTGTCCTCTTTTTTGACTTTAATGTGCAGAGTGAATGCGTAATTAAATAGATTTACTCAAAATAGACTCGAACATTTCATAACGCGTTCATGTCAAACAAAATGTCATCGTATCAAACAAAAGCAAATCTTTACATCACATGTATCAATAAGTCTGTGCTATCAAACAAATATCTTATCATTCGGCTTATCTAAAAACCTTTTTTTTTTTTTCCTTCTCTTATCTGTAACATTTGATAAACGCAATGCATAATCATAATGCATTATACCAATGCAGGCCAAAAATAGATGAAAATTCAGCTTCAATATCAAGAGATTAGATGTATTTTATCTCGGTACCAAATTTTATTTATCGCATTGCGAAATAAGTCACTTGCTGACTTGTAGTCATCTGAACGTATGTTATTCTGTGAGAAAGTTATATCATAAATTTGAAATTTGAATTAAGCGTGAGGTCTGTAATGCGTGAAATGTTTGGCTGTAAAATGTGGCATGGCTTTATTAACGCCAATTAAAAACAGCTCGATTCAAAGTTCATGTTCATGTGGAAAAAGTGTGATCATTAATTAAAATGTGTCACGGAGAAAAACAAACAAATCATCAAAGTGATCACCCATTTAAATTAAAAATTGCTTCGCAAATGTCCGAAGTCATTTTATTTATTAAGGTTTTACCACTACGATAGCGGAAAACCTTTTTTCGATTAAAAAAGAAAATATACGCGCACATTCCTTAGCTGTTAATCTTTTTAAACATGAGCGTACGGATATTAATGTATTTGAAAAAAAAAAATCAATGCAGGGATTATTTATTTGATTTGTCCTTAACGTAATAATATTTATCAAATATCTTGTTTGGTTTGTTTACGCATTGCAGCCTCTCAAATGTCTAATTCCGAATTTTTTTTTTTATTACTTTCATTAGTAGCTTCCTAGAATCGCTAATACTAATATCCCTAATACTTAACCTGATACGCGATTAAGCTTCTTATAATTATTCAATTTGATGAATTTCGCGATCGTTTAATTTGACCTATCTCTTACCTAGCATATATGAAGCATCATATTGCATATACAAACCGTTTAAATTGGAGAGAGTATACACCCTGTTTAATTTCTATCCTCTCAAGTGTTGCGTTATTGCTGGACACAAAAAAGGGACCAATTCGTCAAAAAAAAAAAAAAAAATCGCGAGTGATTGATAACGCGCTTGCCTGATCAATGAAATTAATCTATTTTTTTTTGTAAAACAATGGATTTATTAAGGAAATTAAAATCTATTCATTATACTATAAATGCTGTGAACTTTTCGTATTGTTTTTTTTTTAAAAAAAATTATTTTCATGTACATTACATGCGGTAATGCATAATATGTTCAAATCAGGAAAAATTTTCGCTTTAAACCTATAAAAAGATAAATATTGTTAGCTTAACATTAACTTACTCGTACTGATTATTGTGCCGTGTCAAGGAAAGGAGTCACAAAAGAATAAACGTCATTATCCGAGACTGTGGAAAGAGTAAATTATATAAAAATAAATATTTACTTGTATTAACCAATCAAATCGCGTTTTTGTGATGTAGAAAATAAAAGTTATATTAGATGCACAATCATACATTATCAAATGAAGGGAAAATCCCGAAGAAAGAAAAATAAATAAATTACGCGACAAAATTTTCTATAGATCAAAAGAAACATTCATGCAATTTAATGCATTTAAATTATGAACACTTCTATGTTTATTTTGATTTTGATTTTTTTTTTTTTTGTTCGTTACTCATGTAATTTGATACATTTTGAAATATATATATATATATTTTCTTACGAAACTTTAATCTATTTTTAAAGCTATTTTTAATTCTTTCTTTTTTTTTAAAAAAAAAAAAAAATTTCTTTCAAATTATTTTTATTTTTTTTTAATTTGTCGCACAAAATTTTATAAAAGAAAAACAAAGAACAAACAATTACCATAGTTGCATGGAAGGTTTGATGTGAGGAAGGAACTATTTTTGAGTCAAAAATAAATTATGTGTAATCTTTCTTGATAATAAGTAACTTTGGTTATGATATTCGGGGGTTGAATTTTTGATCGAAATTTTTTTCATTTGTATTTTTAATGTGTCAGAACTTTCCGAAATTCCGAAATTTCGGGTTTTATTTACAGTCCAATGAGCAAATAACATACTGTTCATCTGATAAGGACAAATTAATATTTTCTGTGGGTCAATATTTTAGGTTATATGAAGATCAAATTGAGACATTCATTGAAGTGCAATTCATTTTTAAAATTGGGTATCCCTTTCATGAACAATAGTTGTTCCTCGTTTTTATGAGAAATTATTATCTAATATTTATGTTACACAATTATTTTCTGGCTGAAGAAATTTAAATGATCTGGTTATCACAGATTTTTTTTTTTTTTTCATGAATTATAATATAAAGAAAAAAAATCTCAAAATTTAGTGCTCAAAATGATTCCAACAAACTCTGGTTGTTTTACAAGTCAATTTGCAATTCCGAAGTATCATAATATTTGGTAAGTCACAATCTACGAAACTTTAGTCCGATAATTTTAATCAAAATTATAATACGACATAAATGGTATATAACACAGTCTTGTTCCTTTGTTCAACATAATCTGAAAATAATATTTTGTCCAACAATTTAAATGATTGACAAGGTACCTTTTTTTATTATCAAATGCTTATAATGATTATATAAAAATTGTTGGATGTATTATAATCAACTTAAAAACGCGTTCGATTAGCATTACTAAAGTTTACTTAGCATATAGGTAATTCTAATGAAGATTACTTAATTTACGCGTCTCGTCATTTATGTAAAAATCAATGAAATAAAAAAGAAATTTATCCATTTCAAGTTATAACCAGAAGTTGAATATTTTGTTACGCTTAATACCATTTTTTTTTAGTTACAAATAAAATAAAAAAAATTTACTTCCACAATGTCAAATGAAAACGTTGGATTTAAAATGTGTAAAACGATTAAGATTATCATGAATATTATAGCATATACCAACAAAAAAAGGTATCTCAGATGCATGAAGGAATTATGAATTTGGCAACGCATGTGGGATTATACAACATAACGTTATTATGATCAAGCGCTAATATAATGTCAAAATAAACTTAATCCTTTGCGCAATTTTAATATGAAACGTTGAATATTATGATTGATCAAGTTTGAGAATTAAAAAAATACAATAAATTATTTTATTGGTATAAACTTTAATTATTTGTTTATCTTTTACGTATATCGTAAGATCACGTTATAATAACAGATTATTATGTAACTGTATTTCAAATTATTGAATTGCAAATGAGATGCCATGGGATGCCTGCCAAAAATTCTATACATTCACCGCGCTTTTGCTAAATATG